CTCTCTGAGCTGCAGTTTTGTCACCTGAGAGAGGGGGACCCAGCTCAGCTCTATGTGGCACTCCTCCGGGAGGACAGACGGGAGGACGGGACTGATGTCCTGCTCGCCACCGGCCGGGACTGCGGGCGGGCGAGGGTGGTGCTTATTGGCTGCACGTAAACATGGGAGACTGGCCGCGCTTTAGAGATGGTTTCATGCAAGATGGTCTCGGCAAGCTCGATCAGAAATGATGTTCGCTTCCGTCCCCATCCCCGTCTCTCCAGAAGGACAGGGCGCCCCTCCACGCCAGCCGGGTGCTCCGCGGGACCTTCGGCTGGGCCAGTGCCTCCGACGTAGGGGCGGATGGGGAGGAAGGTGTGTGGGTAGGACCCTGGGAGGCTGGTGGCCTTAGATGCTCCCCGGGTTTGGGGGGGCGCATGCGGCAGGTCCTGGACCTCCCCACAGGCAGGGCAGGCTTTGCGAAGGGACGAGCACCTGGGCTGAGACTGAATGGCTGAGTAGGAATTGGCCCTGCTTCCTCGCTGCCCCCGACCATGACCGCCCAGTGTGTGGCTGCGTGGCTGTGTGGCTCCGTGGCACCCCTTGGCGCTCTGTCTGGCTCTGTGTGGCTCCGGTGGCTCTGGTGGCTCTGTGGGTGTGGCACAGAGCAGACTCGGGGCGTGGGCACAAACCCCGACTTACTGCAGTCCCAGCACTGAGCGCCCGCCGGCCGTCAGTGGGCCTGGCTGCGCCTGGACGTCGGCCAGTTCCCCCAAGGACGGCGGTGTCCCCGGGTGGGGCCTCGGCCGGCCTCCTAGCTGAATGGCACCCACTCTGGTCGTGGGTTCACTTTTGCAGAACCACGGGGAGGGGGGTGAGTCAGAGCTGGTCTGAGTGTGCAGGGTCAGGAGCGGCCCGTCTGTCCCCGGCCCGGCCGGGGCTGCGCTCACGCCACTCCCTGGGAAACCTGCGGCCCCACACTGGGAAATGACAAACGACCAGAAAATCAATTTGTAATCTGATTGGAGGTTTTTGATTTCCTCTGATGAGTTTAAATTTCATTAAAAGCAACCTTATTCCCACATAAAAGGAGCCCTTGAAGGGTAAAGCGGGGGATTGTCTCACGGCGTCTAAAGCAGCGGACCCTTTGTGTGATTTATTCATGGCGTTAATTGTGAGGGCCAGCCCCGTGTCCGCCCGCAGCTGCGCCCTTATCGGCCGGCATCGGCGGGAGCGCCCAGCACAAGGACGCGCATTCAGAAGCCGCTCTCGGGCGTATTGACACTTCAGTTATCAACAACTCTTGTTATCATCTGTGGGGAGGGGGCTCTCGGTGGGGGAGGGAGGGTGCTCCAAACGGCTGCCCCGCCGCCCGGCTGCCTTCTCCTAATTGTGTGTATTCTCTGCAAAGGCCGATCAGCGCAGCCTCTTGTCTTGATGAGAAATTGACATTTTCCGCGGCCTCGTTGGCGCGCAGGGCGCGGCGATAAGGCTGGAGTGGTTTCCGGGGGGCGCCTCTCCCCGCAGCCGCCCCGCTGCTCCCGGTGACCTGCCTGATGAGTATGGATTTCATGAGGTCTTTTTCAGCATTTGAACTATAAAAGGTGCAGAATGACACCACCCCTTATAGACAAAAGATAACCTTGCCCTTTGAATATATCGATTCTTTATTAACTGGGCTGTTTAATGCAATGAAATGAGGCATTAGATTGAAGCCCATTTCGAGTGCTTTGAATAATCTTTAAGAGCTTGAAAGACCTTAAAAGGCGGCCTGACAATAATTGGCACCCACTCTGAGGGCACTTCTCGCTTCTGATTCGAAACACAAACATGCAGTCGCTTCTATCTCCCCAGGAAGGACGCAGGGCCCTGGCCCCCATCCCAGGCTGGGCTCCTGCCCGAGAGCAGGGAGGCAGGTGAACTGCGTCCCCAGCCCCCCCGTCCTCGCATCTTGGGACGGAGCCTGGGGGAGGGGAGTGGGCAGGCAGCAGCTTTGTACCCGGAGCCCTTCCTTGCTGCCTCTTTAAGGCTGAAACAAATGCCGTCAAAGGAACCGACTGGCACTGGCAGGAGGAGGAGGGAGGCACAAGTTTCTTTATGTTTTGAGTAATTGTTTCCTGTTTTGCTCAGCAGAACAAGTAATTAAGGGGACATTTGTGAGCACTAATTTGGATCACACGTATGTGTATGTGTGAGAGCTGCGAGCCAAAACATGCAGAACCGCCTCTCATTGAGGAGATGACAAACACAGAATAAAACGGAACGGGGTGCGGAGAACTCGCCGGAGCTGAAATCGGCGTGTAAATTAGGGCCTCGGCAGCTCCTGTTACCGTGGGCACCTTTGGCTACACCCACGTGCAGCCCACAGCGGCCGGGGCAGTGGCCGGGGCCTGTCATGGCCTGGAGTCGGCGGGGGCATCATACCCTCACGTCAGACCTCAGGTCAGACCTCGGCTGGCGGCTGTATCTGGTGCCCTGCTGTCCGCCCGCCCTGCGCCCCAGCCCCAGCCCCACCCCACGCTCTCCTAAAGCTGATCCTTGCCCAGTGGAGCACGGGATGGGGACACAAGGAGCATCTGCTCTGCCGGCCAAACCCTGCGGTTCAGAAGCAGCAGGGCTGGTGAGCGGTGACCGCGCCCCCGTGAGCCTGGTGACGGTGCGTGTCCCTCAGGGCCACTGGCCCGAGTGTGACCGTCACCTGCAGACGTCTGCGTGAAACACACAGGTGGGACCAGGCCATCTAAGTAACTCACACTCTCTCTCCGCAGGCGGGATCACTTTGTAGACGGTTCTTCCACGAACCCTCCGTGTCAGCCGAGACAATGCTCTGGAACCCCAGGAACGCAAACGACACCCCCAGGGTCCCTCGCGTGTGTGCATCCAGGTGGGCGTCTCAATAACCAAAACATAAAATTACCCAAAGTGAAATTCACAGACAAGAAATACTTTAATTAAATATTGTGTAAAATGAACATTTTTATACAGTTAAATATCTGAAAAAATGTACAGATAAAACAATCTCATTGTAGGGTCTCTAACAGTAACATCTACCATCGGGTGAAGCGCTCAGGTTTGAGACAGTAAAGCGATGAGGGCGTTGTTGGCTAATGAACCTAAAACACACGCCGAGCGCGGGGGTGAGGGCCCTGGCGGGCGGGCGGGAGCTCGTGTTTAGATCAAACCCTGACCGAAACCAAAGAAAACGGAGGCGATTTATCTCCAAAGTCACTTCTTGGGCTTCTCCGCGTAGCTAAGCCTTGTCGGCCGTCAGGGGCCCGCGTGGGACCCGCCGACGGCTGGGGACTTTCTGTCTGTTTACTTAGTCCCTTGAACGAACACTTTTCTAAGCTGTGCATTGTTTTTCTTTTTGTCGTAAAGTTTTTAAAAAGCCCCTCCTTTCTGTTTTGATTTTGATTCCTGCTGCAGTTTGCCAAACGTCGGCCGTTCCGCCCGCAGATGCTGAACGCAAAGGGGAGAAAGCGCGGACCCTTGGGGTCTGGCCGCGGGTTTGGCGCTCACAGGCGCAGGATGGGAAGGTCATTCCAGTTTAAAAAGTACAGGCAGTGCTGCAGGGCCTGACCACACCGGGAACACCGTTCCCCAAGAACCCGGGCCGTCGTGCCCCCCCCCCCCCCCCCCAGAAACCTCCGGCACCCGAGGTGAGCGTGGGAGGCGGCGGGAGGCGGCAGGACCGGATGCAGCGAGGGACCCGGCAGGCCCCGGGTTTGTGCTTGAGTGTGTGTGTGTGTTAACACCGTACATTTCCAAATGAGATCGGATTAACAGTTGTGGTGTACGCCTGCGATGAAATCGCACAAAGGATCTTTAAAGAAGTCCACTTTTAAGGCATCAGAGAAGTTCATGTGGCAGACATTTTTAATTAAAACATCAGAAGTAAATTTTATTTTAAACTTTAGGCCTCTGAATTTTTCCAGTAAACACAGTTCAGCTATGTGGCAAAAGTCATGGGTGGCAGCTAAAATGACTTTTTACATTCTACCAAAAAAAAAAATATTAATAATAAAATAAGGACACAGCCCCAAACGGTGTCCCCTCTGCACGGCCGTTCCACATGCACAGACTCTACTAGGACTTGTCACGGCCGGTGGCACCGTTTTGTTTTGACTATACAACAAACATTTTTTGTTTTCAAAAGTATTTGTTCAGATAACTTAAAAATAATATAAAAATAAACAATGAATTTGACTTTTCCTCAAAATAAAAAAAAAGGATGAAAAGTCTAAATAATAGCAAATTATTTTTTAAGTACAAATGAAACGCAAGGACACGGATGCACTTTAACGAAACAGACGAGAGAGACAGTCTTGGCTTAATGCTCTTCCCGGCGTCGCAAACACTGGGCCATGACCCAGAACCAACGCGGACGAGAAAAAGGAAAAAAGATGGCGGGGAAAGCAATGTACAAAATTTCAACGATAAATACAATATTTATAATTGATATGTTACAAAAGAAAGTCCCTTAGCAACTGTAAGTGTTCATGGAAAAGTGTTGAATGAGACCATTTTATTCCTTATAGGACACATAAGGAATAAAACTTGGTGGGTTTTGTGGTGGTGGTTTTTCTTTTTTCTCTCTAAATAGTTAAGTGGATCTGAAAAAAATTCAAGACAAGTGTATAAATATTTAGCTACAACTTTGGCAAAATCACAAAAGTCTACAATTTTATAACCACATACAAAACACATCAGGGGAGAAGGATCTAGAAGTCAAAAGGACAATTTCTGGTACAAGAAACATGGACCTCACAGTAGCCTAAGAATGCAATCGTATACAGTACTAGCAAAAGTGGAAAAATGTCGCAGATCACGCTTGCTTAACAGGAAGCTCTAGCAGTGGGAGAATAGTTTAACCAACAGACAGTAGCATTTTTTTTCTCTGTCAGTGTGCTTGTTGAAGGCAAGAGAATTCAATATCAAAGTTACAATTTCTAACTACAATAAGTTACAAAGTTTCATTTCATTAAGATGAAGGTAAGCAATGGTAAGCCCTCCCTCCCTCCCTGCCACCCCCAACTCGAATCATATAGTCATCCTCTCTTCCAGGTCGATGGCTCACACCTCCTTGGCCCCCTTGGTTCACCACAAAAAAATATTTCACATTATAGAGATACACAACCATTGCGACTCTAAGGATGAGTACAGAAAAATGTCCGGAGGCATTTTTCCTCAGTGTTTGTTTCATGAGCATCAAAATGGTGCATTCACAAAGTTTCTCCCAACACATAGCAAGTACGAGACACAGCCAAGACGGAGTCGGAAACTCTATACAAAATAGCGTCGCTTTGTTCTCCTTGTTCTTCGGGACCGAGACGTGTGAAAATGTATGAAAAGTTCAGTCAGTACAATGGAATCGTTCATGAAGGAGTAGGCTGTCTGCCTGTCGGCTCTCAATAGTTTAAATAAAATCTTTAAACAACGTCTTTCGTAGCATTTCGACTGCTGCTGACGTATTTGAAGATACGGTCTCCACCAGCATGTCTCAATACACTCAACGTGTCCCCTGAAGTCCGTCCCGGGGTGCTGGGTGCTGCGGAAGGCAAACAGAGGTCCCTCACATCGGCGGGACTACCAGCCCAGACATAGCTGCAAGAGAGGGAGCAGAGGGTTACGGGGGGCGGCGGGCGGCGGGGCCGGCCTCCTCTCTGCGTTATTCCTCCGTGTCCTCGGGGCTGCACAGCTCTCCATTAACCAGCCTTGGGCTCGGTTAAGGCGTGGGGGGACCTACTTCAGGGGATGGGGTGCACATGGGGACAGACCCTGCTCAAGCGCTCCTGTGGAAGGGGGGGGTCTCCGGCCTTTCCGGAGGGGGGGCGGGGGGAAGGCTGTGCTAGACACACCGCAGCGGCTTGTGTGTAGCGGACGGAGGCCCCGACTCCCCAGAGGCCACCTCTGTAGACAGAATGGACCGACCTGCTCTCTCTCCCTAGGCGAAGCCGGGACACGCCTCAGGCTCCCCTCTGCTGATTGCTGGGTATCGTAAGGGTGAGTCGTGGGCCCCCAACCTCAAAGCCACGGCATGGCCCAGGGCCCCAGAGAGATGCAAGTCCCAGCTCGGCCTCGGGGAGTCCTCCCGTCTCCTCTCGGAAGGAGAGAGGAAACGGTGCCAAAAGGCCCAGGGCAGCGGGCGCCTTCCGGTGGACTCCTGGCACGAATGTCATTTGAAATCTTTTAACTTTCGTGTTGTTTAATTTTTGTCAGAACGATGGTTCCCATTAATTTATGTATCGCACATTAATACACTTGTTCACGTAGTGATGCGCGCTTCAATTTCCCAGCTCATTAATTCCAACAATATTAATTTATCTCCGACTCACCGTTACAACTCTATGGAAGCCCCGCGTGTGTACACAGGGCTCACGTGACACCACCTCGCAAGGGGCCCGGCCCCGTGGGCGGCGGGCAGGCCCCGGCCCCGGCCTTGCGAGCAGCGCTGGGGCCCGGGCGTCCCTCTCACACACTGACAGGTGTTGTGAAGACAATGATTTCAAATCACTGATACCTTTCCAGGTCCTTTTTTGAGCATTAGTTCATCAAAGTGAAATATGCCACCGACTTCACAAAAGGGCCAGTTAGTCTTCTCCACGGGGACGTCCTCAGCACCCAGCAGAGAGCCTGGCACACAGTAGGCGCTCAGTGAATACTGGTGGAAGGGGCTCGTGTGTTTAAAGGAGTTACTGGATTGGATTTCACCGGGAGGAGCAGAGACCCAAGGTGTCTGAAAGAGGCCAGAGGGTGGCCCTGAATCTCAGCGCCTGGGGCCTCGGGGCACCCCAGAGCCACGGGCAAGTGGGCGCCCACGTGGCCCCGCCTGCCACACGCAGCACAGGCCACTGCCCGGGGGACCCAGCCCTAGGCGGCGCTGGGGGCCTGCTCAGCGTGTCCCAGCTGTGAGCAGCTGTGTCCGGGAGGCGCCTCCCTCTGCCCTCGGGGCCAGCCCTTCTCCTTGAGTCTTTGGAGGAGACACTTAGAAACCAGCTCTGCCTGGCACGGCCCAGGCCCACTGCCCTCTGCAAGGACGGCCGGCCAGGAGGGGCTCTGGCCTGTTGGTCCAGGCCCCAGAGGGCAGGCTGCTCTGAGATGGGCCCGGCCGGGGACACTCTGACCCTCCACCGGGCCCTGGGGTCCTCTGCTGCCTCTGAATAAGGAGGCTGTGGCCGAAGGAGCTCCCGGCGGGGCCTGTGCCTGGCGGGGCCTGTGCCCAGCGGGGCCTGCGCCGGCTCTGGCAGCCGTGGCCCTGAAGGCCTGTGCACAGAAAGGGTCTGAACGCAGACCTGCTCCTGCCTCCCCAGGGGGCTCCCTTCCCTGAGCTGCACCAGGAGGACACAGGCTGTGTTGGGAGCTAAGGAATCTGGGTGTCATTTCTGAGGACCAGGCTGGGGTAGGGGCGCCTCGAGGGGGACCACAGGGAGCATGCAATGGTGGGGGCGCTGCAAGGCCTCCGAGAATGTGCCAAAGGAAGGGCCAGGACTCCTGCCGCCCAGGGACACACCCAGCATGGTCTCCACCCTGGCCTCGCGGCCCAGCCTGCCCTCGGGAGGCCCTGGGGACAGTCCCACCAGGGCTCCCGGAGCCCGCCCCGCCCGGCCCCAGGCGCGCACCGCCCTCACCTTGGAGTCCGTTCCCGTTGGCGCTGGTGCAGGAGGGAGGAGGAGAGGCTTGGGGCCGGACCACGGGCGCAAAGGCGCTCTTTTGTTTCACTGCAGAGATGACATTGGCAGGTGAGAATGAGAAAATGCCGTGGGCACTGCTACAGTTTGAAGGGAGGGTGACCGAAGAGGCTGCCATGGTGGGGCTGGACGGCACTACTGCAACAAAGCAAACACGGTCAGGACGCGCGGCGCCGTGCGGCACACGACACAGAGACTCGCGGGCCGCCGGGGACAGCGGGGCCAGGCACGCATGCCAGTCTCCGCGTGGCCCCTCTCTGGACAACAGGCAAACGCTGTGTCGGACTCGGTTCCAATTGGGCGGCCCCGCGTCATTCCGATTGGGTTTGGGTTTGGGTTTGGGTTTCCAATGCGATCGCATGGGGCCCGATTGAGGTCAATTTCCTGTCGCCAGGTGGGCGCCCAGCCTCCACAGCCACCCTTCCTCGTGTCCAGTAGCTCACATCACAGAACATCCAAGCAATGCACACATTTGACTTTGAGTGAAAATGAATCTGTGCGATGACGTGTGACAAAAACAGACACTTACTGCCGTAGGGAGAGTTAGCGGAGGAGCCATTAAGAAATCCAGGCGAGCCAGGGACCCCTAGATTGGCCATGGCGCCACTTCCATATCCATTCATGCTAGTGCTCACTGTGTTGTAATTGGACTGCTGGGGAGTACTGCTGGGGACGTAGCCTCGCGGGGACACGCTGCTTGTATTGCGACTGTAGCCGACTGTTAAAATCCCCCCCGCCCCCCCGGCCAAAAATAACATTATTATCAGGGAGAGACACTGGGGGGGTTTCCCCGCAAATCTGTATCATATAGTAAACATTTCTCATCGACCTCCTGCGGTGCTGGTGCCCCCGCGCCCCTAGCAGCTCCGACAGCCTCGTCTCGCCGACCCCTGGCTGCGCGTGTGGCCGCCAGGCCCGGCCCGTCCCTGCTGGCCTGGACGGCCGGAAGCGCGCTTCGATCTACCCGTCAGCCGCTTGCGGGTCTCGCTAGAAGCAATTACCAACAGCTCAGACTCCCGGTCGGGCCCCACTAGGTGAACCCATGCCTCCGCAGACCCTCAAATGCCATGGCTGACGAGGAACGCTTGTCTGTGGCCAGACGCCCCGTAAAAGGCTGTGTGTGGGGGGGGGGGGTCACTTTTCCAGCTGCAGTTTCTGTGAGTGTGGGGAGGGGCTGGGAAAGGGCTCCCTCCCGCCACGGGGTGCACAGAAGCCCCCCCTGCAGCACAGCTGAGCTGCCTCTGGGGCGACTGCCTGCAGGATGTGTAAGAGGGGGCTGACAGCAGGGGCTGCACCCCACTGCCCTGGCCTGGGATGGGGACGTGGTGGGGAACAGGCACTTCTTTACACTTGATCATGACAGACTGAGAAACCAAATCCCACCCACGCAGCATATCTGAGGAGAGCCCCGCCGACTGACCCATCCCAGCTACCCTGTGGCTCACCCCAGACTCAGGAAAGCCAGGTGGCTCACAGATAAATTCAAGGAAACGTCTAGCAAATAGCATACCCTGAGTGCAAGCTGACACGGCTGCTATAGGGGTCCTGGGGCCTCTGTTCTCTGCACGGCGCTTGTGGGCAGAGCCGCAGAGGACCGGGCACTGCCCACGCCCCACGGGACTGGGGACAGGCCAGCTGTGGCCAACTCTCAACCGCCCCCAGCAGGGTCCGGGAAGGGGTCCGCCCTGCGCAGCCACCTACCTTGGTCATTGGCTTGCGATGTCTCGGACACGTTCACGGCCAGCTGGCTGCTGAAGGAGTTCACGCCCATCATGCCCGTGTGCGCAGGGGTGTTGCCCAGCGTGGGGATCTGGTTGTGGTTGCGAGGGACGCTGTACAACGCCTCCGCGATGTCCGCCGCCCGCTTCAGGATGATCTCCTGGCCAGGAGGGGAGCCCGTCACCGGAGGCCAGGCTCGGGGGCCGCCCCCCAGCGCCCAGTCTGCGTGGAGCCGGCAGGCCCCCGGGAGCGCAGCCCCAGCCCCCGCCCCGCCCACCGCACCTCCCTGGGGAAAAGGATGGCGGTGGCCACTGTCCCTGGGGCAGACTGACAACTGCCTTTTCAATGGGGCAAGGAATTCCCTTAGGAAGGTCGTTCAGGGTGCTTCTGGGACGGCACGTCTATATTCCTCACCTGCAGCCCTAAGGCCCCCGCAGGGCGCACCGGGGCAGAGCAGGGGCACATCCCCAGAGCCTCTGTGCTGCGAGTCCCGGCAGCACCCACAGTCCACCAGCCCCTGAGCCCACTGGGTGGATGCCAAGGTGCTTCTGTTCCTGTGGCAAGTCCTGCTCTGGTCCCTGACCCTGACCCTGACCTGCCATCTCCTGCTTGAA